TACTTTAAAACATGTATTTATACGATTACGGTATGATTCCCCGAAAGTTATTTCCCCGCAAACTCATTTCCCGACACCGTAATGTCGACATGCTATTTCATCTACAACACATTTTTTCGATAAGACATATATTTGACATTACATATTTTTTACAATCCTTTTCTTAGACAAGACATTTCCCCGACAATTATTTATCCGACATATATTTTAAAACCAACACTAACTAAATCACCCCCACTTTATGTCAACGTAATGATTGTCAGGGAAATGTCTTGTCTAAGAAAAAGTACCCTGAGACATGTTTAAATTGATAAACATACGATTAAAGGACTGTTGAAAAAAATGTAATGTCGAATATATCTTATCGAAAAAATGTGCTTTAGATATATAGCATGTCGATATTATGGTGTCGGGGAAATGAGTTGGCGGGGAAGTAACTTTCGGGGAATTAAGAAAAATCATTTATACGAGTGTTTAACCAAACCGGGTAAAAGAACAAATGGAATAAGTTTGTCAGAGGATAACACTTAACAATTATTCAATAAATTAAAGGATTAGTTTACGTTCCTCGTTTCTATGTATTCACAACATTTTGTTTACAAAACTTTTACTAATATATAGAAGGTCTGCAACTTGTAATGTTGAATAGTTATAATAATATAGATAAATTATACACCACTGCTGTATGCAAAACCACTGTTAAAAAAAACAATATTATAGTATTGAAATATATTTTATTTAAAATCTTTATGATTCTTAAAATCCAAAAAAATCTGTAAAATCTCTGATTCTTACATTATGATTTGTAAAAACTACATTTTTTTGCCAAGCAAAATAAAAGCTATAATTGATTCTAACTTATTAAATACATTTATTCGGCAAACTCATAATCATGAAAATATTTACTGTTATTTTTTTTTTCTTGTATTACGTACGACAATCATGTTTATTCAATTAAACTAATCCATATGGACTTCACTACTAAAATACACTAGAAAATGTGTACCAGGTTGGTTCGGATGATGTCCGGGATAACTCCCTTCGAATCATGATCATAATGTGCGGATAACACTAATACTGGGCAAATTGTCGAATACGATAATTTGATTGATACGTGCTGCAAAGCGACACGTGCCATTTGCGTTATTTCAACAATTTTATCCAGAATTGTATACATAAATTGAAAACCCAAAGCCTCTTTTTCCCTTGGCGGCATTCATAAAGGTGATAGAGCATGCGATTCCAGATGTTTATAATAAATATAGCCTTATAATACTTAGTTTTATTTATAAATAATATAAAAATTGCATAACAGTATTTTTTCAATAAAAATATATAACCAATCATAAAACAGATATTCTTATCTCTAGATATTTAGTTAATCGTTAAATATTAATGATAAACAAAAATATAAATTTATAAATTAATAATTTTTGTTTAAAAAAATATTGATGTGACTTAATATAACTTAGAAAAAATTTTTTTTTAAAAAAAAAAGATCTCAAACTTTATTGTCAATAAGAGCAATAACCACATGCTTGAGAATGGGGCCAATGAGTTCACAGACAACAAATTTGAGGCACTGACTTGCAGCTTCAAACATTCTCTTCCAAAATGATTTCTCATTAGACTTATCTTCTACTATTGTAGTTGACAAGTTAGCTAAATGTAAAATAGTCCTGCAAAAAAGCAGTTTATAAAATCGGTTGACTTACATTTAGCCCAATTACTCATTATTTCTTCTTGATATTGGCAGTAAACTTCATAGGTGATCAACTGGTTGTTATAACATTCTTTGAGTGCATTGAGTTTAGTACTGAGATCGCTCATTTTAAATACAAGATTTCGCAATTGTGCTATACAAAAGTTCTGTAAATTAGAGAAAATAGGAACCAATTTTGAAGGACAATAGAAAAAATTTTCAATATTTACTGTAAATAATTTTTCAGATGCTAAGTATAGTAGTTTTATTATATTTTGATGAAAATTGCTTATTTAATTAATTATTCAAGAAAACTTCATTTTTTTTTTTTGTGCGTAAAATCCTATTTATTAACGATAATCAAAGCAGTTTTGTGATCAAGAAATATACACAAATTTATTAAGCATATATATGTTTGGTATTAGAATGAGTAAGGGGATATTACAAAAATAGCGTAGATAAGAATCAATGAGTCTTAAATAGCTAGATTTCTACACATAACTTGGATATAGTAGCACTGCAAATTTCGACAGAATTTTCTGTCTGATTTAACTTGAAAAACCTGTAAATTGATTCACCACTTTCATCTTTATTGGACTCAATTCTTGACAATCTAATCTTACGCGATTGGCTCTGATTAGTTCTTAACGCCATTTTTCTTTGTCAAAAGCTATAGTGTTATCGCGACTAGATCGATTAGCTCTATATGTATTTATTCATATGTAACCATCGCGGAATCAATGTACAGAGGCCGAGTCCGATAAGGTGAATTTTGGTTAATCAATTAAAAATGGGTTTCCGTCACTCATTCTATTTTACATCTCTTTTCAAAAAGGTGTGAGCTATGATCAATTTGAATAGTAAAAAAATTAGAAATTTGATTTCCTGTTGATTATAGTGATGAAAATTTAAACTACAGTATTCAAATTTCCTAATTTATTAAAACATGAGAAAATCATTTAAACTCTTTTGAAAATAGATATTTATTAAGCACAAAGATAAATCGTTAAATTAACTTTATTAATTGATTGTCAGGAAAATCAATTGAATTCTGAAAGATCAAAAAATTTTTATTTGGCGCAAACGCAAAAAAAAAATACGGAGAGCGCTGATATTTGATAACGGATTTATCCAAATAAATGATCTAAGATAAGAAATGTATAAAAGGTAATAGTCTGAACAATTATATATTAAAAACCGCATTTATTAAGTATTATCGAATAAAATGGATCTCCAGGAAGAATTAAGGAAAATAAAAAGTCAATTGGAGAGCGGACTGATTGATGAGAATGAATATGATCAACGCCAAAAGTCAATAGTAGACGCATGGGTAGGTAAACCAAATAGCAATAATACTACCGAGACTACCGAGCCTTCTTATAGTAAGTAGTCGATTGAAACTTATCCTATCATTCTGAAATGTCGTTATTAACTATTTGGATCTGAAATTATTAATACAAAAGATACGAGCTTATATGCAGTACTCCAGTTAGAGTCTAACGCAACTGATGCGGAAATCAGATCAAAATATAGAAAACTTGCTAAGGATTACCATCCAGATAAGAATGGTGGTATTGAAACTCCAGAGGTATAAGTCTACAGACAGTGTTTTCTTTACTTTGGATTGCTCCCTAATTTATTATTAAATAATCCAGTGGAATAAACTCATTGAAGCATACGAAATTCTCTCAGATAACAATAAACGTGCTCTTTATGATAGATATGGGATAGTTATTAATGAATGTTTGTATCCGAAATTTTAATATTTTTTATTAATATTTTTTTTTTCTTTTAATAATTTGATTAAGAAGTTCAAATATTGTAATTAAAACATAGCAAGCAAATTTAACGCCTACGTAGGAGGAGATTCTTGGCTCCCTTATATTGGTAACTTAGAAATTGGTCTTTGGTTTTCCTCAGTTTTAGAAAGTGAAAGCTCGCCAAAGCTGAAAATAATGAATAGAAGTGATGAGAAAAAACGTCGATATGCTATTCGTATATCCCAAATTGTTTGTCACTTACGAGAAAAACTTCTTCAATTCCCAAAACAAGATGATCAGTCGCTTAAAGAATTTGAACTATTCATTAAACAAGAAGCTCAAAAATTATCCATGGAACCTAATGGCAAGATGCTGCTATCTTTATTGGGATGGATTTACATTTCAAAGTCTCAGGATTATCTACCGACAATATCAAATATTTGGAATAAATGCTTAGATATAAGTTCTGATATTTTTGGAGTTGCTACTGGCTTGTTCTTCAATAATACGATGGCCAAATTCAAGAACAAGTCTTCATTAAACCATGATGAGGTAATCTTTTTTTTTTAATTATCTTTTTTATCGTTATGCCTTGAAGTTAATTATCCAAATACTGTACACCATAATAATTTAGATCAATAAAATAGTCTGGAGACTCTCACAATCAGAAATATCTTCAATCATTCGTGAAGTCTGTGATAATGTTTTAAATAGTAATCAAGATGAAAGGCATCACCTTGCTAATGGTTTGCAACTCTTAGGCAAAATATGGATTGAAGTAGGCGCGCAATAGTTTCACTTTTCAGAATTCTTCTCCTATTTCTACTATTATAAATATTATTATATAAGCTTGATACTATCATTATTCTATCCTAGTTTTATTTTTTAAAATTCTTATGAAAAAGTAAAGTTAAATTTTAATTCGGAGCGAAGTTTTACTATCTGGGCTTGTCACAGTATTTTATAATTTCGCATTCGAACACTATTCTGTTGGTTTCATTATTTTTATTATTTATTATTTTACAAAGTTTATTAAAATGTTAATAACGATAATAGCTATGCAACACGTTAAAGTAAGTATGTACTAACGTATTATTTGAAGTTCAACACCCAAAATCCTATGAATGAATTAATCAATTTGTTAATTTATTAATATAAATTAATGAAAATTTACAAATAAATCATTAAAAGAAATTCCTAAAATTTTAATAAGAGAATAGATGTCAGTGACATAAATAACTATGTATTATCATAATAACTATGATTATCATTTCGTAATTATCAAGTATGATTTTCTTTAATATAAAATTTATTCTTCCATTTTCACTTCATTATCCACTTCATTCACTTCATTATTCATTTGTTCCTTTGAAATTTCTATCGTTTCTGTTTCCACTGTTGTTGTTGATTTCGTTATCTTTCGTGCCTTATATGTAATATCAACAAGCCAAAGTGGTAATAATCCTTCATCACCGGGACCATCCCACGGTTCTTTGAGTTATTTATCATATGATATATACCCGCATGATGCCTTTTCCAAAATCGATACGAAACTGTTGATAATGATATAAGAGCCGATACCGGCGATAAGACCATAGGCAATGTTGAATGTTAATGGCATAATCGCAATGGTTCTGTGATGAAATTTATAAAATTTGAATGTCAATTTAAAAAATAGATAAACGTATATATAATAAATACTTACAAAAAACTAAGCATTGCATCCCCAACATAATCCCAGTTAATATTTTTAATGTTCCTCACCATTATAGACCCAACAACCACCAAAGCAGGACCAGTAGCCCATGGAGGTAAACTAGCAAAAATTGGAGCAAAGAATAACGAGATAAAGAAGAAGAACGATATGGTGAGAGCAGTTATTCCTGTTCGACCACCTTCCATAATCCCCGCCCCCGATTCAACAAAAGCCGTGACAGGAGGCAAGCCAAAAATAGCGCCAATTGAAATCGAAGAGGCATCACATATATATGCAGCAGTTGCTCCTTCAAAATCACCAGTTTCATCCGTAAAGCCACCAAATTTTGCCATTGAATAGATGGTTCCAGTAGCATCAAATATATCGACATACAGGAAGGTTATTAAGGCGATCCAGATATCCTTGTTGCTAAGGTCGAAATTCATTGCGCCTAGAGTTCTGATATTATGAATAAATATGTGCTTATATTTATCGATGAATAGAAATTTCCGAACAATCTTACTTTTCGATTGAGTGGAAGCCAACAACATTCTTAAAGAAATCGAATCTTTCGTCACCGTCAGGTCTATTAAAAAACCATTAAATAAACCTTGCAACCATTTTTGAACCCCTGTAATGGGATCTCGCAACGTATTAAAAATGAAAATCTAAGGACTTACGTGTAAGGGAAATAAGTAACTTGACTATTTCTAAACCAACTTACGACACTGATAAAAGTGATTCCCAATAATAGGCTTCCTTTAACTTTATAAAGCAATAGAATTGCTATAATTAAGAAACCCAGAACTCCAAACCAAGTAATAGGACTCTCCATGTGATGGCCCGTACAAGCACCAGTTGTGCTATTAAAATATTGATCCGGACAGCCTCCAAGCGACACGACTGTAGTTGGATCAGTAGCAATTAAGGCAATTCCAGTATTTTTTTGGAATCCAATGAAACAAAGAAAGAGGCCGATACCAGCGGCAGCAGCATTTTTTATGGACTTTGGGATAAGTTTTGCAAGCTATTGACGAATGCCGAAGATTGAAAGGATGACAAATACGATGACTTCTAGAAATACAGCAGCAATTGCAGCTTTACTGTATATGGAATATTACCTCCACCGTGGAAACCGACTACTGTGTAGGCGAAATATGCATTTAAACCCATCCTAAAAAAGTCATATCTATTTTAAAAAATTTTATAGTTGATTATTAGAAATTTTTTCACAATAAAAGTTTATTTGCCCTGGGGCAAGACCTAATGGCAGATTCGCAAAAATTCCCATAATAGCTGAAGCTAAACATGAAACAGCAGCAGTTGCAGTAATTATATCTCTCTTCACCACCATTTGACATGCAGCATAATCCGGATCGCCAATACACGTATTTGCAATATCAGGGTTTTGGCAAACACATGGGCCACCTTATAGAGAAAATCAAACGACTATCGATTATAAATCATATTCATCGTATGAAGAAATATTTGATAATCTTCATACCTGAGTCGGCAACAATTGCCGCATTGACAGCTACGATATAGGCCATAGCAAAAAATGTCGTAAGCCCAGCACGAAGCTCAGTAGTGAATTGAGTGTCGCGAGTGTTAGAAGCTCCACTATTTTCAAGCTTAAAATACTTCCCAAAGGAAGTATTAGCTATCGTTCTGTTTAATCTATCAATATTCATATTCTAAAAAGATTATTAAATATGAGTCTAAATGTGAAAACTGAGACTTGATATATTTAAAAATCGTAAATTGATTTTACCATTAATATTAAGTTCATTTACGTGAAATATATTATATTCGTTTCTACTTATGGATTCTTATTTTGTTCATCGTTAATGATAGCTTTTTATCCAAACTCCGATAAATTTCCGAACGTTGTCATATATTTTTAAATGAACATCTGCTAATAGACCACGGTGGAACTATTAACATTATCATCATAGCTTGCATAACATGTATACAATTTAACTCCGTTAGTATTGTGAGGAAGGTAAGTCATAACTAAAGATGCTGGTGAAACAAAATTAGGGTGGTGAAATAATTTCACCACTATTGGTGTTGAATTGGTGAAATTGGTGAAACTAATCACCAGCATCTCTAGTCATAACATTTAAAGTTTACTAATCATTCGCTTAAAAGAATCACAATTCATATGTATTTTCTAATCATAATTTTTTGAATCTGTTTAGATTGTTGACTTTAAATGTTTTAAAGTTCTCTTAAAGTAATTTGCGGGCGTTCCAATTTTGGTTATGGAATTTTCTGGTAATAGTTATGCCGTTGGTTGCATCTCCGATAATCTCAAATTTCGAAGTATATAATTCGAAATGAAAATTGTATTTCAATTTTTTCAATAAAGTTAATTTAATAATAAATACTAAAAAAATTTCCTTATCATCGCTTAGAACCACCTTATTGCGTAAATTCTGTACAGTATATGAAGATGATCGTAAATTTAAATTTCAAATAACAAAAAATTTGAAAAAATGAGAAAATACCAATATTGAGGCAAGCTCCTCTAAAATATCATATACTAGATCATTTAATGTCTCGACATCAATTTGTAAAGAAAATTCAAGAGAGAGGAGTATTAACAAAGTTTGGTTAATTGAGGCACCTAAAAAAAGCGTTTATTCGAAATAGTTTTTCATCCAAAAATATTCACGCATAATATTTAATAATACTGTAATAATAGTTATAATTATAATAAATCATTTCATTTATTTAATCATCATCAATGATAAATATTATTGAATAGCAGTAATCATTGATGCCAAGAAAAGATCTTGATCGAACGCTTATAATCATTTAATAAGAATAATAATAATAATAATAATCCTTATTAAATAATGCTTTTCTTTACAAGAAAATCTCTTCCAAAATAATTATCGTTTTTATTGATCGTTGACAAATAAACAAATAAAAATTTCGTATCAAGCGTTATTACGCTAATAACATTGAATGATTACATTTTCTAAAATGAACTTTCTAAACATTATTCTCTTTATACTTTCCACAACCATTGTAGTTAGTTTAGCACAATTTGGTTCTCCAGGCATGGGTAGTCCGGATATGGGTAGTCCAGGGTTTGGAGGTGGTGGAAATCCGAAAGGTGGTAATCAAGGTTTTGATCCATCAGGTCTATTAGGAGGAAGCCCAAAAGGCAGTAATCAAGGCTTTGATCCATCAAGTGTTTTAGGTGGCGGCGGTGGTGGTGGTGGTGGTGGTCAACAAGGCTTTGATCCCTCAAGTTTATTAGGTGGCTCAGAGCCGAAATCTGGTGGTAATCCTGCACCAAGTCACGGTCAGAATCAAGCACCTAAGTCCAGTTCTCCAAATGGTAACGCGTCAAAAAGCCCTCCAGCAAAGACAGCTCCATCATCAAGTCAAGGCAAGGCACCTACTTCCGGTTCTCCCCAAACTTCTCCAGCAGGCAGTGGAAAAGGGGCACCATCGTCTGGAAGTCCAAATGCTGCACCATCAAAAGGCAAAATTAATATGCAACTGTTTTATAAACTAATGTTCTTTTATAAAATTATTAACACATGTAATCTATTCTATAGGCAAATCATTACCGGATGTTCGCAAAGTACCTTGGCAAGAAAAAGAAAAAGCATGTATTTTGGTCAGGTAGATATAAATTCAAAAGTTTCAATCTAATTTTTTTTTTTTTCTATGAAAATTGAATAAGCTATGCTAACTTTGACCAATCGCAGTGGCCCCCCTAACAATACTATCATTGAACCAGAAACCAAACATCGTATATCATGGAATCAGTCACCTTGTCAGATGAGCGCGAGAGTTGTTGGTATGTTTCACGTTTTCTTATATAACAACTTACAAGCAGTGCCGGATGAAAAGGCAAAAAAAAGAGATTACTCTCCTAATGGCAAGGTAACCCATTTTTCAGGTAGCAGCAGCAAGCTTTTAAGATTTTATTTGATATTTATATATATTTATTTTTATTTATAGGTCATATACGACTGGGGGCCCTATCCTATTGCCACTAATCTGACAAACACCACAAACAATTGTGACTGGTAAGTAGTTTATTATTATTATTATTATTATTATTATTATTATTATTATTATTATTATTATTATCTCATAAATATCGTTTCTTTCAAAAGGACTGTGCCATATCTAAACAACGAGCCACGAATTACGAATGCTTCAAATTTTTACATTCGTGTAGAAACAATTTCAAAATCTGGAATTTTTGGTGCCACACCACCGTTAGGAGGTACATATGGACCAATTTCTTTATCTTTAGAAGAACCTCCACCAGGTTGGAATGAAACTCATGCTGATGCAGTTTCTGAAGGTCAAAAAGTTCATACATCATCTTCAACTTGCGTTGTCAAATTTTGCAATTGGTTGGGATTGTTCGTTTTTATTTTTATAACTATATTAGGGACCACATATTTAGAACCGTATTAAGAAATATATATATATTTATTTAATTTTTGTTAACAAATTCAAAAGTATACATTTATAGTAATTTGCAAGAAAAATGAAAAAAGTTTACCATGTTTGAAGTAGATAATTAAAGGCTGTATATAGAATATTTATCCATTTTTATAGTAAAGGTTTTTTCATAATTTTAATATTATATATACGTATAAAATGTATTTTGAGCGTACGTATGTGCGTTACGCGTGTAATTTCGTTATAAAATTTGACTGGCTGATTAGTAATAAATATACATGATATTTTTTCTAAAAACTTTAGTCAAAGGTTTATTGGCGACTATCTAACCAAATTTGATGAATTTTTTTTTACTAGAATTCTACGAGTCTGTGGAATTTAAATAAAAAAATTAGTCGAATTTGGTCAGGTGGTCGTCGAGATACCTTAAACCGCAACTATTATTTTGATAGACGTTTAGATTTGTTTAAAAACTTTGACCGAAGGTATCTCGACGGCCAGCTGACCAAATTCGATGGATTTTTTTTTTATAGAATCCTACGTTCTATAGAATTCAAATAAATAAAATTCATCGAATTTGGTCAGCTGGTCGTCGAGATACCTTTGGTTAAAATTTTTTAAAAAAATCTAAACATCTATCAGAATAATAGTCGCGGCAAAATTTTCTCTAACTTTGATTGAGGGTAGGTATCTCGATAATAACTCGATTCATTTTTTTTATTTTATTTGAATTCTGCATCCTTGTAGAATTCTATTTAAAAAAAAAATTCATCGAATTTGATTGGGTAGTCGTAGAGATACCTTCGATTAAAGTTTTTAAAAAAGTGATCTACATGGGTGTGGAAATATCAGTCGCCAAAAATTATAATCGACCACAAAAACCGCTATGTACGTACAGGGCCTCACAAAGTACGTAATCTTGGCTGCACAAACATATACATATTTATGCAAAGAACAATCACGAGTATATCAGGGCGGCCCCCCCAAAGTACGGGTCGATCATCGGCCCAGACTTTGGAGGGCCACCCTAATTTACTTGATAAGCTGCAGGAGTGATTTCAATTATCGATCCGACATCAATTATCAATCCGACGGCGATCATCGACCCGAACTTTGGGGGGCCGCCCTGATATACTCGAACAATCACAGCGTATTATTAATTGATTTTCATGTTATACGTACTTTGTGTTGTATAATAAATTTTTTGTACGTATAGGATTTTCTTCTTTCATTTCTTTATCGGACAAAATGTATATTTTAGGTTATTGATTTTAGTGTACGTATCAATAATTTTCAACATTGGTATAAGCTTTCCAGGCTATACAAAACGTTAACATTAGATGTTCTTTTTTTTTTTTAGAATTCATTTACGTTGATCTTTATGCACAATTTCAATTAATTATTTTTCCTTATTTTGGGATTGAAACAATGAGTTACGAGGAGACCTCCATTATATTACTAATTTAATCCAAGAAATACAAGGAAACTTCTGGACTCTACAGATTTCGACTTCGAAAATTGCAATCTTTTAAAAATATTTTGTTCAAACCAAAATAATGCTCAAGCGTGTTCTGAAACAACGCGTACCTTGTATAACATACGTATGTGTTTACTTTGTAATTGATATTAAAATTTTTTGTAAAAAGATCCAGGCAGTTTAAGAATTTAAAAGAGCTTTTCCATACAATAAACACTAACCACAAGTCGGGTAAGTTTTAACAACCCTACGGCAGGGACACACATCTCAGTAAATCACACAATTACTAATTATCTCTCGAACTTAAATCACAGAAATTCCGTAACCTTTTCGATGGGTAGTGAAATAATAATAAGACATGCGGTTACGTGCTACGATTTGATCAAGCAATTTATCAAGCAGGTACGTACGTACTATGTAAATACTGACGGAAATTATTTCCGCAAATTTTTATTAAAATCGTGCGACAATTTCTTATTTAGGCCATACAAATTTGATTACTTGGTTTTCATAACATGAAACTTTTAAATAGACCCGGCCGGCCGGCTTTTTTT